CAAGGACTGCTTAAAAACAGTTTTTAAGTAGTCCTTGATATATATATTTATATATTATTATATACAAATCCAACAGAAAATCTGATTAAAGTACGGGCTCATTTGACCTACTTCACACTTATTACATGAAAGTAACACATACCAATCACACTATCTCACACATCTTCTCATTAAAGTTCACTGTGGGCAGAAAGTCCTGAAATCTTTGAGAGTTATCAGACACTCACCTTTGATAATGCCTCTTTTGACCAGATCTTCCTGTGCTGGTCTGCGAGAAATGAAATTGAGAAGCTTGGCTCGTATGCTGACAATATTCTTGTTCTTGTCCACAGAGTGCAAAGATGGGCTCTCATCTGCTGACACACTTCTCGTCATGCCTGCAGAAACAGTGGCCAAAACAGCAACATATATTCATCTGCATTCTACAGACCTATAAATCTGTCATATTGTCCTTTTTAGTTTTTTAGTTTTAGTAGAGGTTTTAGGGCGCTCACAACTGCATATGGTCATATGAGTGCCAGAAGATTAGAGGTGTTACAAGAGGGTAACAAACATAAAAAAGAAAGGGGAGATAAAGACGATAGATGTTTGATGGGAAAGAAGATGCAAACCACACCAGAGCACCCGCCAACCACCCACACATTGTTCTTTAAATGGAAGATCCCGCTAGACACACGGCAGGTCATGTCGAAGAAGGGGCAATACCTCCCTCAACAAGACATGCGGTGCATGGGGGTTTCAAGAAGAATAACAAAATTACTAATCTCGCCGACTCTAATTTCAACTTTTGTAAACTGGGCGGGTTTAAAATTATCATGAAAAATCAGCTGGAAAATCTGTTCTCAATACTCTTAGGGCACAACAGAAAAGAAAGGAGAAGATCTAAAGCTCTGCTTTACTTCAGTTCATCTTATTACAAAGAAATGCTGTGAAATTTGTTCAGCCCTAAAAGATGGACACAGGATCATATTTCCATTACTTTATAACAAAAGCCCACGCACTATACCATCATGGGGAATTTTCTAATGAAAACTTACAACCCTTGGCCTTTAGTAAAAACCACTGATTCTTCAATAGATAGTGAGTTGACAACTACAACCCATAAGAAAAAAGAGTACATACAGTTGTAAAAACCTGAGTATAGATATAGAAACCAGAGAATAATTCCACTCAATTTTGTTCAAATTTTAGTAAAGAGAAGCCTATTGACACAATATGGGCCTTCCACTTTGTGGAAAAAGCAAGATACACCAGACAACAGCGGGAGATTGGAAGACAACAACCTACATAGGACTACGCCTCAAGTGAATTATATATTGTAGGAGTCAGAGAATGGAGAAAATTAGAGCTGAGTAGAAACAAAGACATCTACGGTGATCCATCGTAAATGACTAGACATCATGTGCAGAGTTCAAACTTTGCTCAATAAGACAATGCCGAAAATAACACTTTCAAATTAGAATAAGACTTTTAAATCTAGAATTATATGCAAAGATACTGCAAAACAATAGGGGGGTAAAACGGAATTAATGGAGGGTTTTTTCACTTTAAGTATGTATTCTTTTTATCTGGCTCGGTCCCAAATAGTTCAAACAGTTTTCCTATGGACTTTTTTTAGCTATATATTATAATATATAAATTGTTGCAGAGGAACCAGCATGCAGAGCCAGGTAAACATTTTGCTACCTCAGTGCTTTCTTGTCGTATCTCCATTTTTTTAAACAGTGAAAATGTGACATCTTCTTAAGCTCACTCTTTGTTATGAACTGTTTTAACTGTTATTAAAAATGGACATACAACAAGAAAGCACAAAGGTCGCGATTTGCTTGAACAAAACTACATGATAAATGAGCACATGAATACCCTCTTATGTAATCACATTCAAAAGAAACCATGGAAAACAAGTAAACGTAAGTATATCTCTCTTAACACTTTGTGGTCACTTTGGGCAATAATGCGCTGGTGAAAATGATCCGTTACGGTCACCTGAGCTGCGCCAGGCCAAGAAATCAGTTGCAGTTGCCTTCCTGGCTGGGTGACCAGATGGGGTATTTTAAACTGCTGACTGTGTGACTGCAAAGTGTTAAAGCCAGCGAGAACCAATTAAAGAGACTAAAATCTTATTCAAAGCACCCTGCCAAATCAAAATACATACCTTTTCTATCTTCTTTCAAATCAAATTCTTTTGGACTAGTTTCTGCTGCCTGTGAACGAGAAGTAAAACCATGAAGCAAAAAAAAAAAAGTGTGCCAGAAATAAGCACTCAGTTCCCTAAACAAGCACGAGACTCTCATTACCAACAACTTCTGAACTATAAGGAAAAAAAAGAGCAAAATTTATCAATAAGACCAACGGCTGGCTAATCTCCCGTACTCAGCCTAACATCAAGACATTTGGCTATGAGGTATGTCTACCGTACATGCATACAAAAGAGAGGAATTTCAATATTTCTATTTATTATAACATCAAAGCATGAAAGCCTAAAAAAATTAGTTGGGACGACAATATGTACATATTTTTAGTTTTTACATTATTTACGATCTAAACCAGGCATGGGCAAGAGCATCCAAGTTATCTTGCACGCTGAAGTGGGAGAAGATGGTGAAATCATCAGTTGAAATATCCAAGCTTTAAAAAGTGAGACTTTAAAAAGTGAGACTAAAAAAATACTTTAGCAAATGTCACTCAAGGGCATTTCATGCAATAAAATATAAGATCTACTGTTTCCAGCTTGGCGCGAAACTATTGATATAAATTTTCAAGATGGACAGTTTTGTTTTCATTACTTATCCACACACCACAGGCCTAATTGAAACTGGGCACAGACCCAGCCAACCAGTTGCAGTTTGCCCTTGCCTGATCTCAACAATTAAAACATATATTTACAAAGATTTAGCAACCACCATAAACTAAACAATCAAGATAAAGAGCAATTCCTATTTATTTGACCAAAATATACTTAGCACAGAATACACATTATAGATCACTTAATACTCTTATCCCAAAGGAATTTAGTTCTAAAGAACAAATTTAATCGATTTAAACTTACGACAGAAACATTAACAAAAGAATGAACAACACATGCTACATACCGGTGATACATCGTTTGCGACAATCTTCATTCGAGTGAACCACTCTCTAATTGTTTTTTCATTGTCTGACTGAAAAAGGAATGAGCTGCCTGAGCTCACATAGAGCTGAGGACAAGAAAATATTACAACAAAAACAATCAGATTTATAAAATAACAAGATCACAAGAACAATTAAAGGGAAATTAAAAGTAAAACTTCTTCACCGCCAGGTCTGCTCATTAATCTTGCAACACTGACACAACCTCAGGCCGAGCAGGTTGGTCATTCTTTCCTTATAAAATCACTATGGAACAGACACACAATCAGATACACTGTAACTCTCAGGTGCATTCTCATGAGAACCACTCATAAAAGAGCATGGCTATTAAAAAACAAGGAGGCCTCAGCTAACAACACTATTCAAGAATCTTTTTAGTTTAGTTTTAGTAGAGTTTTTATGGCCCTCGCAACTGCATAAGGTCATATGAGCGCCAAGATCTCTTTAGCTTCAACAGCACAAAGTCTGCTCTGACTATCAAGGCACCCCGGAAATAGCAGGTCACAAGAGAGTGACAAAACATACAAAAGAAGTAGAGGATAAATGACGATAGAAAGGATTAGGAAAGAAAAAGCAGCAGTTCCCTGTTGTAGTTCAGACACAGTTAGGAGCACGACATTGATAAATCAGCACATTTACAATTCTACTGTGCATAAGAACATGTAATGTCCCCCCCTTTGGGAATGGCCTAAAGAAAAGTAAGCCAGTAGCACCGCCTCGGGGGATATTCAAGAGTCTGCAGTTGAGATTAGGCCATAACTAACTAAAATAACAGTTGTCTAGAGCTAAAGTAAGCAAAAGATAGAAAAACAAAGAGCATAGGAAAGAATTACATAAGAACAATGGAAAGGAATTTATAACACAATATGATTAGAAAAACAATATTAACCCTCATCCTGCGGGAGCCGGGTTATTCATGTGTTTGTAACACTTTATAAATAGAAAGCTATGAAAGATAGAGCGTTATTTTCATCATCAGTTAACACACTCCCACGGTATTCATGGCGAAAACACACGTTTCCCGGCGCGCGCGCTGTACACCAACAGTACACACTGAGTGACCCCGGCGGCCTGCCCGGCACGTCCGACGTAATCGGTTGCTGATAAGATATGCATCTGGGCACAGACGCAGGATAAGAGTTAAAGAAAACCAAATGACACAGCGATGCCTACTTGAAATATGCCAAATGTCGTAACAGTTTATCCACCACATGATCCTTGTTAACACCTTACCAAATAGTAGACAGTTCCCTGGATCTCACTGATGACCATGTCAATGCAATCTGAAAATTCTTATGCTTACATTATTCCCGGTATACCAAACCAATGGACAAAAACCACAGAGAAGGTGATGATGACCCAAATGTACAACAAGATTTTCCCAGAGGCAAATATCTACAAACTTACTAGTATTGTATTTTTCTTGCTAGTGATATCCTTTGACGGATTAAAGTCAACATGAGCTCCCTGCAGACTGATGACGCCCTCTGGCTTGCCATGAGGGGACCCTGGTTTTTGTGGTGCCGACTTCTGATCTTTGTAAAACACTAGATTGGAACCCTGCAGCACTACAAAGGTCTGACTCCAGTTTTTCCTGAACAAATATAGACAAACAAATTCGATGCATATACATTGTATATGGAGGGTAATAATTTTTTTTCCACTCTACATCTAGACAAAAAAAATCCTTCACATTCACAAAAATTGGCATCTAAAAATTCAAAGAAACACATGCCCTGAGGACATCCATTGAGCTACTTTTTGGGGGGAAATGCGCTCTATATAAATGTTATATATATATTATTATCAATATTATTATTATTATTATTATTATTATTATCTAGAGTTCAGTCAAATTCAATCAGCACTTTCCCTTACATTTTTTACCCCCCAAAAAAACTAGGTGCAATTCTAGAGTACAAACAAGCTTTCTTTTTATTATTATTGCTCTCACTATTGTGGGCTTTTATTTTCTTTGTTCCCATCAAAGCTGACAAGAACATGTACACAACTTTTACTTTGAAAAGGGCTAAAACTACAATCATCACAATCAATAATGTGTGATAGCAATGAATGTAACTTACTTGCTCTTCTTTTTCCCAAGTTCTGCTATCTTTGTTTTATTTAAGTACCCACTGAATATTTCCTGAAAAGAAAACGTTTTTTTTTCATTAAACAAAATATTGAACGCAAAAATGGATCAATATACAAAAAATAATTATTTTTGGGAGCAATTACCAACCTCTAGCATTGTACTATGTTTTGAAACAGGGTTTTTTACCAGCAGAACATTCTGTTGTTTTTTTTTATAGTAGAGGGTTTTATGGCGCTCGCAACTGCATAAGGTTATTTCAGCACCAAGAGGTGGGTGTCAACAGAGAAGTCTTTACAGGGAATCAGACTTAGACTGCTACCTCTCTAGCTTCAACAGCACAAGGTCTGCTTCGACTATCAAGGCACCCCGGAAATAGCAGGTCATAAGAGAGTGACAAACATACAAAAGAAGTAGAGGAAATGACAATAGTAACGTTCAGGAAAGAAAAAGCAGCAGTTCCCTGTTGTAGATCAGGCACAGTTATGAGCCTGACATGAGTCAGCCCATTTACAATTCTACTATGCTTGAACGAGAAATGTCCCCCCTTTGGGAATGGCCTAAAGACACTTCCGTCAGTGGCACTACCCCGGGGGGTGAACATTCTGTCCACATGTTGCTCGCATCTAACAATACAATAAAAAGCACATTTTTGCTTTCCTCTAAAAGACAAAAATATTTTTGCTGAAGCACCGACAGACACAGAGAAGCAGATAACTAGTAAGAATGAAGTTTTAACTTTCACTTGTCTAGACGAGGTAATGACCATAATGTGAAAAAAAGCTCTAAAGGCTACATTTACAGAGACATTCCGCATGTCATTCCATGCATTGATATAAATAAATACAGTTGAACCTGTGCAAGACGGAATCACAAGGGAGCCCGAAAAAAATTCCGTCTTAGACAGGGAAATTTAGTGTGGAGATGGGGGGTTCAAAGGCCCAGCCGGTGGGATCAAGGATCGCCTGTACGATCGGCAAGCAGGGGTCAAAACTTCACACCTCTCAATTGCTATCCTGTGTGATAATAACATTTGTCAGTCTTACTTATCCAATTACCACCAGTGCTTGCCTTCCATAGGACCACTGTTTGACCTATTAAAAACTGAAACGTTTGAACATCTCCTTTGCTTCCACCCTTAGCCCCACCCATCAACGCCACCCCTCACTGCAATCATTGTAACAACGATTCAAGGAACTCTTTTCTTGGCTGGCCGTACGATCAGGGTGGCAGGTATTGGTCAGTCTAATTTCACACCTCTGGCTTCTGGCTACCCAGGAAAGTTTTCGTAGTGGTTCGCTACTCGAGCACTCTCATGGGCAGTCATGAGATTTCACACCCACACCACACTGACCATCAGCATCGTTCAGGGCTCACATGATGGGGTAACATCTACCCCCAAATTGCACCCCTACTCCCTTTCCTCGCCTGGCAGCATAGCATTAAGTTAAGAGCCGGCGGACGGAACCAAACTTGTGATTTTGTTTCAAAACAGGGCTGAGCGGGCAAAGCATTTTCCGTCTTAGACAGGTAAAACCCTCAGTAGGGAGCGGATTTTTTCTTTCCGTTTCCACGTTGGACAGGTTTCCGTTTTATACAGGTAATTAAAGAGGAATATATCAAGGGGGGAGCGGGGAGATTCCGTTAAGACAGGTTTCCGTTTTATACAGGTTTCCGTTAAGGCAGGTTCGACTGTACTCAATAAAAAAAATGTATTCAAAAATAAAAATAATTCCAGAAGCTCAAAAGAAAATAATACACTAAATGCACCTGACTTCAGATCTTGTATTCTATTTCAATTTAAACACATTGTACTTTATTCGTGTCCCTCTTTAAATGCTGACCCATTTGTTGGACTCACGTCTTATTAAATATAGCTAAAATCGACATTTCAACAAATTGAAACTGAAATACAATTCTGCAGTAGTTACAATAATTTCTGAAATCTTATGAGGAAGTGAAGGATGCTTCTTGCCAAAACAGACCACTTGAACACTATATGGCACAGCCAGCTAAAAAGTGAGTCTCTTGAAGGAAAATTTATTTAACTTTTTTTTTTTAAACCAAAAAAAACACCAAACTCTTTAACACCATTCCCCAACTCAACTACGTTTATCTAATACACTTTGAAAACCCATTTGTATCTTACTTGTCAGTATATTTACTTGTCATTTTAAATTCATAAGCAGCACCAACCAGAATCAATAGTGTGCAACATGAGTGGACCTCTATATAAATACACTGAACTTTTGAATGCACTCGAATACAGCCGAGCTAATGCTGAATATTCCATGACATTAACTGCTCATGCCCCCATCCCGCTCATGCCCCCATCCCACCCAACCCCCCCCCCTCTCCACTCATATGCATATATGCCCACACACACACACATTAACACTCTCACACACACTCACACTCTCTCACACACAAGCATGCATGCACACAAACACATATACGCATGCACGCACACACTTGCACATGCATCCAAGCTCATGCAAGCCCACACCCACACAAGGGTAAACCATCGTCAGCACACATTTAAGTGTTTGTAATTTCAAAAAAGTAATTCCAAAGTTACATGAGATCTTTTAAATTGTCAAACTACCCCCTATGAAATACAAAACCTTTTTTTTTTTAATTTCCAACAAATTTACATAGATTTGCTGTACAAAAACATATGTGAGGCATTGTGGTGAAACCAGGTCTCGTCAAAATTATGAAATTGAAGAAATTGGCATCTTTTCCACCGGTTTGGCGTTGATGTGTGCCTGATTCCAGCACACTGTGACACATATGTCTGTGATTCAAGTTTACACAAAATTAAATCTGATAACCTTCCAGATTCAAATTCATTCATTGTCTTGATGTTCTCCAGGCAGTGTGACTCATTTTGACTTACTGTCACAAATCATCATATTATTAAGTAAAACACATGCACAAAAGCATGACAGCACAGAAACATCACAGTAAAGAGTTATTAATCAGAATGATGTTTTTATCCCAGGCTAAGTGGCACCTATAGTGTTATGGTTACACTCTTCTCCTTGTGCACAAAATATGTGAATTCAATTCCTTTGCGGAGAAGTTTATATTCTCTAGTGTCTCTGTTTCTCTGCTGGAATGATATATCCTCCTTTGCCCGAGTTGGCTCACCCCCTGAATGATTTTAATTGATTTGACAGTGGCATAGAACATTACAATCATTTACTGTCCAAGTAGAAAAACTTCACTTAACGTTTGTGGTCCACTTACTCGATGTTTCCTCTGCAAGCACCATGAAGGCATGAATCAGAGAGGAAATTATAGGTATTAATATCATAGACAAATGTTTATTTGGGATAAAATGAAAATTTAGCATACAGTCAGGTTTCAAAACTATTCTTACTGATACTAATTCAGTGTGTTGTTGATTAATACCTCTACTGTTCAGCAAGAGCAGAGAAAAGACTGTACATACACTTGTGAATTTGAGAGAGGCTGTGTTGAAAATACCATACTTGATAACTGTGCATGCACATTTTTAAAAAATAAAAGGATGCCAGTGCTTAAAACTTCTCCAGAAAGTACATTAATTATCCGAGTTGAGAAGACTTGTTCCTATAAGCGAAGCTCTGCAACCATAAAAAAAAACAAATCAGGTTTGTCTGCAACTGCTCAGAAATAGAATCCTTGCATATTTTCAAAGCATGCAGCATTCAATGCTTTCTGAAACTTACATTAGTCAGTAATTGGAGCTGTAAAGAAAAAAGCATCAAAGCTTTTCACTAGCATAATTTACCCTACTGTTCAACTGCATTGAAAAATAAACATCTGACAATGGGCACTATTAATGAAGCGGAAAAAAAAACAATGCAGTAATTTAGGTGGTGCAAAGATAACTTGACGCTCTAAGAACATGAACTATGTACATCAATTATTGTAATATGGGATTTGATCACCTTGTATTTGATTCTCAAAATAGGGTACGAGAAATCTGAACTTCCTCATTTTCTTAATATTGGCATTAGGAAAATCTATGTTCCCAGAAATTAGTACCATGAGCACATGAGACATTTATGCTGTAATCAGTGAGTTATGGGTGATTGCCTGACATTTTGACATCTTTGCCACATAAAGAAAGAAAATCCATTTCTTTCAACATAATACTAAATCTTTCCAAACTTGCATTACACTAAGTAAACAATATGACCATTCAAAAACTCGTACAGTGGATCTCTGCTGTCCTTCTGGGACCTGCGGCAATGTCGATGGGCTAGGAGGTGCAAGGTTCACCGGTCTTGCCACAGGAAGTCGGTCCTGAGAAAAAACAGAAAGAGATTAATGTGAAATATGAATCACTTACATGAAGTACTTCCATTTTCAACCACTTCTATCAGAGAATCTTGTGGAGCCTCTCGTTTCAAAAGATGTTCGAAGAAAAGTCCCATACAATCTGTGGCACAAAATGGCACAACTGGGAAAATGATTACCAGAATGCATCAAGATTAAACTTGATCAGGCTGGAAAAGGCAACAGAGCAAATGAGTCTCTTGATCCACTCAAGCCTTATGGTTTGTAGGCCTACATGTTTAGCAAACATACTATTATGCTCAGAAGCTTAAGCATCATGCAAGTGTCCTTCAGACATGAACAGTGTTCCCATTAAATTAATGTGCTCGTGCTATAAAGTCAAGCTTCAGGCAAACCTTGCCACCCACACGTCCAAGCAACACATTCCACACAAATAAACAGGAGACACATTTCTACACAACTCTCATACAGATACTGCCATGGTAAACAATTAATTATGCTTTGATGAACTATGCTGGTTTCCCTAAACCGTTAAATATCTTGTATACTCTACCCTTTTTTGCTCCAGGTGTATTAATACTCCTGTTCATTACTGTGGCTGAATTACTATAAAAAAAATACTGAGAACTTTAAACAGACAATTTGAGAATGAATATCAGTAAGCGCATCAAATATTACATAAAATACTTTGATAAAGAAATGTGCATAAGAAAAAAATATAAGCAAAAATTGTGCCGGTTAAGAAAAAAAACTAAAGATTCAATGTGTGCTGCAATTTTACAAAAGTAAAAAAACATAATCACACTGCCCCCACTGTCTCACCACCCCACCCCCGAAAAAAGTATATCCTTCAATTGCAATGCAACTCATCATTAGTTTTGTTGAAAACTTTTAACAATGCAAAAAGAACTTTTGCATGTGATAGCCAAATCAGGGAGCCTTCTTCAGATCATTATATACTTTTCTTCTTATATACCCAGCTTTTTTTTTTAGAAACTTGATTATTGTTCACCTCTTTGTTTTTCCCGTTTGTTAGTTGCTTTGTTTGTTTGTTGTTTTTTGGGGGGGTTTTGGGGGGGGGTTCAAATTCAAAGGAGTGATAACATAGATAAAATTATAACAGATTTCTCAGAAAGCTGTCTTCTGAAATATCTTTAATTCATACATTCAAAAGATTGAAACAAACACAAACAACTAAAGTAAACAGACTAACTTTCTTTTCAAGCTAAATTTAGGTATGTAATTGCTTCAGTTCTCGTTGCCATGTCCAGAAAATTTTTAATGTTAAGAATTTAATTCAAATGAAAGCTCTTCATTATGACAAGACACTTTAAGGGCGACAAGTGGAACACACATCAACAGTAATCAATTACATTGGCAATGGGAGCAGGCCTGGGCGCAGAGAAATTGGCAGGTAGAGTGGATGCTTTACTCGATGAAGACTCTAGCTGACCATAAGTGGACATGGCCTTCACAGCCCTCATGGATTGGGCTCCAAAAGTGCTGAGCCGGTGTCCTTGTGATTCCCAGTTTGAATCCTTTTGCTGGTCAAGAGGTAAGCAAATAGCAAAGGAGAGAACAAACACCAGTTAGCCAGTTCTAAAGAAATAGAAAAGTGCATGAAAACAGAAGTCGCACTTCTCGATTGGTTAAATCTACATGTTGTGAAAGACCCCCGCAGTATCCAAGTTCATTATAAGTAGCATTATCAAAAAGATTTCTGTGCTGAGGAGGCAGAAAACATCCGCTGAAATTTTCTACTTTTCATTTTTTGCTCATAAGCAAATTATGACTACACCTAGCACTTCAAACTCTTGAAATAAGATTTAAATGTTTTTTCTCCCTCATTCCTTTCATCTTTTATCTACAAAGAAGCTTTTTAAACACTTCTACCTAATGACCTTCCATCAAACCTGAATCTCAACTGCAGTGCATAAGAAAATGTGTTCATTACATCAGTCCAAATAATAATGCATTCTACATGATGTGCTGATAGGTGACTTAAAATGCATTGTGCCAGATTTATATCATAGCGAAATTGCTCCTGAAGAAATAAAAAGTGAATGTGAACAGTAAAAGTAATTCAAGTATCAATTCGTCTTCACAAAAAATCAGGTCCAAGACCACAGTTTGGCAAAATTGTTTATACAAGTTTGAAACTAATGTAAAGAGTAAGAGACATTTTCAACAGTAAATCAAAGGCCAGTGGGGGAGAGTAAATTGGGTAAAGCGAGTGAAGGCAGAGAGACAGGGTATTTGGGAGGTGTCACAGGCGACATAGAAGCTTTGCAACACAAACAATTATACTGTAACAATGTATTTCTCAATGAATCTAGGGTGAAACTCTTGTTTCCAATCAAATACTAAAGTAGGGTGTTTTCATTCTTCTAAGAATTTTACGCACATGTGAATAATACATGCAGGTGATTCTCAGCCCAGTTTTTTTGTAAAGGAGATTGATTGCATACTACCACGAACAAGGTGACAGAAAGTATGAATAGACTACATATAATGTGCAAAGTTCATCTCAGTAATGGTAACTTAACAGCATACAGCTATTCTGTAAAATTTTCAAAGGTAAGCTGACAAATGCTTGCTGTTTAAAACTTTATCTGGAACTTTGTCTGTTTGAAAGCCTGCTAATTTAGTTTGTTTTATTAAAGACACTTTTATGGTGATTTTTGCACTCTCAAAATCAGAATTATTTTGCAGTAATACTTTCCATATGGTGACACTTTGAGAGTACAGTAAATATTTCAGCATGCTTATTTTTCCTTTTAATGAAGTCAATAGAAACTAATTCATAAACCACTTTTTCAGATGCTCTGAAAGATGTGGCTCTAACAGTACAGCTGAAAAACCTTGTGAAACCCATTAGTTCTTCACCTACAACAGGGTGTTCTAAAAGAAACAAAGCAATAGAAATACTGCAGCTCATAAGAGCACTTAGTGTGTTTGTGAACGCAGCTATACTTTTGGAACACACTGTTGTATAGCAATCATGCAAGTTATCTAATATAATTCAAATATAGCCATTGAGTCAAACCACATCCCTCAATCGAACAAAAATTAAAACGTATGCTACGAAGCAAAGATATTTAACTCAAGTAACAAATTTTGGGAAAGAATGAATTAAGATCCCAGTCATTATATTTATTATGTGACATGCAGGTTATTTCTACGTGGTTACAAATTCAAATGACTATTGAAAAGGAGAAAAAAGGAACAAAATCTCTTAAGTAAAAATAATTTTCAGTAATATATCTTTCAAGCAGGAAACAGGAGCAGACTGTACCAGTAAAAAAAATGTCAACATTTCGAAGCTGAGTCCATAAACCTCAAAATTCTATGCATGTAAAGGACACTGATTCTTAAGAATGCACAACACCAAAGATGCCTTGAATTTTCTCTTTCAGGTTGATCACAAAATTAAATAAGAACGCCTTGCTGACAGTCTCAGATCCAAACCATAGAGTATCATAAAATATACATCTCTATCTAATGCATGATACTCCAAAGAGAACTCATTTTCCCTATTGCAGAAAATAAAACCAGCTTGAGGTCCAAAGCCAGGTGAGGAGTCATCTTCTTGTATGTTTTAATGAGGCATAACCATCGGACTGCTAACATTTCTTCTGAGAAAGTGATTGGGACATGGTAGAGGTGCTACCTAGGTCTATAAACTTTGAAATTGAAAGATGCTATCCAGAAAGATATTATGATGTTACATCCAAAAGACGGATGTAAATGGTCAAACAACAAACAAAAGTTAAACAAATTTCCATAGAAGTGGCACCACCAAATTCAAGATTCAAAATAAGCTTAGGTAGACATATCGTTGTCATCTCATCGAGAAAAAAACTCACCAAAAAAATGCCATGAAGCAGATTCTTGGATTTGTTTGAAGACAAGTTAGTTTTGTAGTTTAGTATGGGGTTTTACGGCGCTCGCAACAAAGACATGTTAAATTTTCATGATGTTAAAACTGGTCACAATTTTCTCGACCTTCTCCTTTTATTTCCTTTGAACTTGCATTTTGTGGACAAAATATTTACTTGCTCATGGCTTGTTGAGTGAAGAGTAGCACGTCAACACAATAATGGCCATTTAGTGCTGGGAAAGGGTAAGACAGACAGAAACAACAGCGGGTAAGTAAAGAGCTAGGTCCTACCAGTGGTGCCCTCCAACTACCCATCTTTTTGCCCAGAAACGTCTTTCCAGGCAAAGCTGAGTAAAGCATGTCTACTCTCAATTTTGCACCTTCTGTTAAATATTTTTCAGAATAAAAATATGCTGAATTACTGGTTGTGAAATCCATAAGCAAGAAAGCCGGTTCAATACGTTCAGTTAAATACAAAAACGAAAAAAAAAATATTTTCAAAGGGGTAATATCATGGACCAACAGACACTGGAGACACATAAACAAGTGCGGGAGCTCAAAGGACCTCACCCACAAACCAAAACAACCATATTTGAGAACAATGAGAGAGTACCACTCAGAACTTTTCATACACCTAGAAAACTGATTTAAGGCGCAGTGATCCATTTCCACACTGTCTTGATGTTTTATGTTGTTAAGATCTAGAAGCAACTCTAAAGTAAATCAAAACTGTGTGATGCAGTTCAAAGCAGAAGTGTGATTACACTAAAGGGATAACTGGGCCGAGTTACTTTGTGTTATCTAAACATAATACATATAATATACCCTCCGGAATGAAAATGAAGAAGCACAGGTTAAGCACAATTTTCTCAAAAAGTGATGAACGCGAACAAACACAAATCCATGTATGATAGTATTAAGTTTTGTCATTTATGCTCTATGCATACAACTATCATTACACCAAAAGCATACTCATTACTGACTGAGTGACACCACAGAACAACCATTGTGCTCATATTATACATAATGGTGGCTGCAGACAGACTCACTGTAATAAGACAACAATTTAACCCTTTCACTGCCAATTTGATAAATTTGTTAACTGACTGTGATAACAGTGTCTCGTTCACAGATTAAGAAAACAAACCCAAATCAATCTTTCTTTGTCGAAATGAACAGTGTTCAGTTCTGACACTGAAAGGTAGTAGTTGTTATCTACCCATGGCAGTGAGAAGGTTAGGCCGTAAAACTTAGAGTGCGTCTCTGAAACAGGCAGCTACTCAACCAAAGCTTCAGAGATATGTAAATACACAGCAGATGGATAACCAAAGCATCAAATAAAAGTGTTTGAACCTAGGGGTGGGGGTGGGGCAGGACTGGGGGGAAGGCTACATTCAGAACAAGGAGAGTGCTTCACTATAAACTTTGACCATAAAGGAATAAAAGGAATAGAGAAATACAGCAAAATTCTCCAAGTCCCTGAGTGTACACGGATATAAACTCACCCTCAAGCGAGGCCTAATCTAAAAGAGACAAAGGTCAAGGAAATCTTAACATCAGAGAAGGAACATGAAAGCAAGCTCAAATGAGTGGGAAGAACAAAGCAAGAATCAAACTTCTGGCCTCTACAAAGCTCAAGAGAATCTTCAGAAAGCCAAAATGGCAATAAACTGTGTTTTGGTGGGGAATAACCTGTGAGCACTCATATGTGAATTAATATATCATTCTCCTTTTGACCACTGGTATTAAAAAATATAGATGAATTGAGGCACTTGAAACATGGACTGATCTCTGTAAACGTTTCTCCATCAAAGTGATCAATGTTAAGGTAAATTTTTCCATAAAGAAGAAAAATATAATTATCATTTTACAAATTTTTTGGTACTTCTTTATCATTGTGTAGAGTATATAATTTTTTAATGAACTGATTAATGAAAGCTGAACATTAAGAAACATGAGAGAGGGTTACGGAAAATTTTGAACTGTACAGAAGCAGGAGAAGGCAAAAAAAGCCCCCCTGTCTTCAAGGCGGGTGCTGGAAGGGAATACCTGGATAGTAGTGAGGTCAGGAGCGGCCGAGTCTGAGGGGTTCTCAGAGCTCTCCGCAGAGGCTGGGAGATTCCACCTCGTATCAGAGGAGCCCATTTTGTGAAAATACTGCCTGCCCACCTGGTCTACCAGGCTCTTCCACTGAAAAGTGCCAGCAGCAAGCGCGATTAGATCAATCACACCACCTCACAACAAAGTGCTTTTCAACACGGATGGATGGGTTAGTAGAAGGGCTTATCATAAAGATAAAGACACAGCAAGTGCTGGTACAAAAACGAAACTGCTGAATAACGAGGGAAGCTCAAAAGATACGTCTTTCAAGCCCAACACATACAACAATTCATTTGTAAGATGAGATGTTTCATACTAACACTTCAAACAGCAATGAAGGGAAACACAGATAATGGCCTAATTCTCTGAGGTATAGTCTTTCAAGACAGTTTAAGTTGCAATCAAAAATAAAAGACAAAAGTATCCCCAATGTAAAAAGATTGAACTAGATTACATACCCAGAGGCAACATCCTAATCCATCCAAACACGGCTCTAAACACACACACACTTCTTTTCATCTTGACAGAGAGTCAAAGTAGGTGTGGGAAACAAATGTATTATACACAGCAAAAGAATGGAAAGGGCAGAATGGAGGGTGGGGGGAAGACAAACTTTAAAAACCTAGAATTTAAATCATTTGTAGAAATAGTGCTCTAAATAAGTTATTTACCTTTTTTTTTAAGCCCAAAGAAAGAAAACCATTACAGTCGAAAACATGCAATCTTTTTATTCACACCTGTACTTAAAAACTACTTGACATTGTACTTTGTTTACCACACTGTCATTCACACCTTCATTAAAATGCAAGAACATGTTTTTTTAGCTTTCATCACTACAATATAAGGTATCAAGGAGTTGTACATGTACTCAGAGGCATTTAATTTCTTTTCAAACGTGTCTAAAAAAAAAAGCCCAAAATCATTTACAAAAAGTGGGAATATAACAGTTTCCCACAGTTTACAATTATTGAAACCTCTAAGCAGTCTACAAATATCCTAACCATTTTTTATACCTAGATAGAGACTGATCACACAAACAAAATATTTAATATCTTTTTTTTTTAAAAGACTTGTTAGAGAGTGGAAGAGCGATGACGATAAAACCATTCTACAATCATTGACAGAGCTGACATTTGCGCTACTTCTAAATTGGAAAAATAGAAGAGCGTAGGATGAAGAAAGAGGGTAAGAAATTAACAAATCTAGCCCCTACATACACAATTTAACCAATTCGCTAATACTTTAAAACCTTATACTAGGTCAGTAGAGAAGACAAAAATTAGTGTAATAATAAGCTAACCAAAAGTTTATAGGATAGAGGAAAAAAACAGCCAAATAAACAAATTCAAATAAGTAAAACATAAGGTCCAACACGTATAAGAATGAAACATCCCATGGTAGTTCGCACTTAATAATAAAACATTTCCCAGATTAGGACAAGTAAAAGAAGATAAATCCATTTTTGAACTACCCAGTTATCTCAGATTAAGAAATAATCTGAAAACCTTAGTTTGAAATAAAAATCTAGGGGTCACTTGAATGCCATATTTGCGCTTAGGGGTGTTCTGAAAATGTTCATTAAATTTAACAAAATATCAATCAATGTTCATATTCATTGTAAAATCTAACGCAAGGACACATTAATTATCCCTATAGTATGATGTCTTTAACTTTTATGCAATAAACAAACTGAAAAAAAACTGGTACAGGGTACAGTTTACAAACATGAGTTTGAAAAAAAAAAGAACTTTTATACAAACTTTAGCCAGTTAAATAAATCGAAGACGAAAAATGCTTTCTTTCTCTTGACTTGAAGCAAGAACTTTGCAACTACCATTACATTACTTATTAAATTAGTTGTCTCTGAATTTCTCTGATGCAATAACAGAAATGAAAGTATATGTGTATATTGGGTAGATATCACAAAAAGACCCACCTGACAACCTAAACAAATCACAAAACATTCTAAAGGCAAATGTAAACACGAAACAAAAACTGAAAGAAATCAAAATTAGATAAGTTTTTATTTCAATAACCCTGACAGGATTTGGTAACTTCCTTTGTCCTCAGAGATGACCATTTAGTACATGCTTTAAGGACAGGAATATCTATAAGCTAAGCTTATCACTTAAGACACAATGTTTACAAGAAAAGCATGAATATTATTTTATAAAACTGTATAATAATACTCAGAAAACACAAAGGGCAGAAAGTACAAAAAGATAAAAAACCCAGAGTGCATTTTAAATAAGCGGACTGTAAGACCCTACCTTTTCCTGCGTAGACTTGTGAATGAAGTATAAGTTGCCGTTATCATGAACTTGTTCATACTCAGAGGGGATGGACCATTCTGTGCCTTTTTTCTCTGACACAGTAGGCAAAGATGGTGGGGTGATAGGAACAACAGGCTTAGGCTGAAAAAAAAATTATTAATACTTAAATTACATTGATTTTACCAGCGAAGTGACACTTGCCCATGAGACTTTTCAAGAAAAGGAAGACACAAATACTTTAATATCCAATTTTGTAGGAAAGCATTAAATCATTTAAACAAATCAAATAAAAAGACAAAGACCAAAGCACACAATTCTGTAACAATCTCTACAGATTGGATTCATTTTCAGACTTCCATTTTTTTATATAGTAATCTTTACTTATATATGCAAAAGATATAGGATTGGTTCATTCGTCGACAGGTTTAGTAATTTCAAGCACTGGCATTTTCAAAATCACAAAAAAATAATACTCAGATCAAACTGCAAGCGAATGGATACTACTGCATGCCCAAAAATGGTCACTTTACACCTCAATACACGTAAATAAATATGAGGCAAGGACAGCTTCTTTTGTCATCCAAATACAGGTAATTTCTTCCCCAAATCTCTGTCCTCTATCATTTTCCTATTAATATATATGACCACAGTTGCAATAGTGTGAATTCTACTTTTTGTACCCTTTGAGCTCTATCCCCATAATAAATGACTGCAGGATTTTCACCACTGCCATGCAGTGGCCAGTCCTCGAGACCTTAAGGCTGAAGTCATACTAAATAATTACAGAGCTGAATACTGTTCGTTCCACAATATTAATAAAAAATGTTTTCAATGAGGACTTCTCGGCAAATTATCATTTAACAGTTTTTCTACAAACCTAGTTGCAACTACTTTATGTTCTCTTCACTAAGACGCTATCCAAACACTTCTCTTCTTTCCAGTATGAGCTGTAAGTGCAAAAACAGCAATAGCCTCTCATAATAAGTACACAAACAACAGCTGTGTCAAACACATTTAAAGCATGTCAAATAGGAATAAATCTCATACATTTTCCCTTTCTTTCATTAGCCAAGACTAAAGACTCTGTTGTAAAGATAAAATAACTAATAAAACTGCTATCTTTAAGGAAAATTATACTCAGCATACAATGCATAGTTAGTCCTTATCTTGCCACAGACCTTTGTTTAAAAATGAGTAGAGGCGGTAAATTACTTAAGCTGTGGCTCATTAGGACACACTTTATGTCAATGTGCAACAGACACACATCCTCTCCACTTAACCCCACTTGACATGATCTTCATGAATTAGAAGCTCTTCCTCCTTCCTATTTCACTTCCTTATTCAGCAGACACAGAGATATCGTTTTCAAGACTGAAAACTATCAAAACAAGACAACTACTCTTGAAAACCCATAATCTTCTTGAAGAAACTAAAAAATGCACAAAATATGCCATTGAAAAATAAAGCTCCCATTGTACAATACCCCTTCATGTGATCAGGGTCAATAGTCTTGCTCTTCCCCTCCCATCCACTTCACTGAGTAACGCCAACATGAGAATACACAACAAAAGTTACAGGAAAGCAATTACCCATTCCTAGTGCCTCGGTCAAGGGCAATACAGTTAGTTAGTCGCACATTTAGGAATAGTGTCGAACCTGTCCAAGATGACCAGTCATTGCCAAAGAAAAAAGTGGTCAACATAAATAGAAGGTCCTCTTGGACAGTGTTAATAAAATTTGGTATCATATTGAAAAAAAAAACGCAACAGAGAAAGTGGGAAGTTGTCGTTTGTACAAGTTACTGTCTTTGACAGGTGGTCGTAAGAGCAGGTGGTGGATGGTGGGTGGTTGGCGAGTGCTCTGGTGTGGTTTGCTCCTTCTTTCCCAACAAACATCAGTTGTCATTATCTATTCTCATCCTTTTATTTGTATGCTACTCTCTAGTAACACCTCTAATCTTTGGCAATTATAATAAGACTTCTATAGGTTGCAAGTGCTGTAAAACTGTTACTAAAACTCAAACATAGGAGCAGGTTAAACGTTACGTTCTTCTGAGAGAAATACAAAGACAACATAAGCAAAAAGAAAAAAAATCAGTCCTGAACAAGACAAACAATTTATAACCTGCTCACTATTTCAAGAGTGCTGTGAGCAAAACAAAAAAATAAAGAGCACGGCGTCACTTTTCGCCCGATTCTGTTACTTTTAGTTGGCATGAATCAGTAGCTCGCCAGAGCTCCCCAGTTCGGGGTTACAGGGTTAATGAGCTCTGAAGCGACTTGGCGGTGTCGGTTAAGAAGCTCGCATTTTTGTTTACGTTTGAAAAGATATAAAACTTTTTCCCCATCCCACATAGCAAACCATTACACTGATGTACTAAAAGCTCAATGTCTTGAGATTTACTCTGCGTTAGAAAGGTTAATTTCTGTGCCATAGTTTTTATTCTCGACAAGTATTTGTAGAGTACCCAATTTGTCCTATTTTAGCTACAAACTTATGAATTAATGATTGTTTATTTAGAAACGGCACGATAGGTCTCTCCAAAATCTGTGTTACCATTAAATAAAAGAAAGTTACTCTGTGTTTGTTCATGAATCATGCTGTGTCTGAGGCAGCCTGCATACAACTAAGAAGGATATAAATTATTACGTGATTTTAAAAAAACCCACAAAACATTGTAAATACATGGGTAGAGATAAACTTTTTGTATTGAATAAAAATAATGACAGCTAACATATATTCATTCTTAGCTTTTGTGTCGTAAATATGCCCTGCCATTTATAAATGTAAAGAAATCAGAGCATTGTCAGTTATTACAAATGGTTAAACAGGGTTGGTGATTTTTTTGATTTTTTTAATAAAAATTTTAAAAAACAATTTTTTTTATTTAAATCAGATTTTTTAAATTTAAATCGGATTTTTTTTTTTTTTTTTTAAATGTCGACACAGTTTGGGATTTTTTGTGGCTAAAAGTATGTTCTTTTAGTGCAAAATGCATTGTCTTTATTTTAACTAATGATTAATTTAAGCAACTGCAATTTTAGAAAGCCTTAATCTGCTATATCAGTGAATTATGGCTACAGACAAAAAATGAAGAAAATATCAGTCTAAAAGGAAGGGGGGGGGGGTAATTATGCATAGATAAACTTGCATTTTATTTTTATTACAGTGTGTGTGTGAGCACGCGCTTGTGTTTGTCTAAAAAGAAAAAGAAAATGCTAATTTCAATGATGAAAAAAAAGTAAATTGAATACTGCATTATTTTACTACTTACAGTGACAGGGGGGGAAAGCAGACTTTTAAGCAATTTCAGTCTACTAAACCTTATATCTGTTTTATAAAACCAAGGAAAGGAATTCTGAATGTTTAAAGATGTAAAAACAGGAAACATTTTTTTAAAGTGTTTTAAATCACTGAGTTTTATTTTTACAATCAAGTTGATTTAAATTTTTAAAAATAACTGATTTAAATCGACCCGATTTAAATCAACCCAACCCTGGTTTTCAATTATGAAAAAAAAAGTAAATTGAGAACTGTATTATTTTACAGTGACAGGGGGGAAAGCAGACTTTAAAGCATGCTTATATTAGTCTACTAAACCTTATATCTGTTTAAAATAAAACCAAGGAAAGGAATTCTGAAAGTTTAAATATGTAAAAACTGAATACATTTTTTTGAAAAGTGATTTAAATCACTGATTTTTTTTTTTTTAATCAAATTGATTAAAAATTTTTAAAAATCAACTGATTTAAATCAACCCAGCTCTGATTTCAATTATGGAAAAAAAAGTAAATTGAATACTGTATTATTTTACAGTGAAAGGGGGGAAATCAGACTTTTAATCATGATTATATTAGTCTACTGAACCTTATATCTGTTTTATGAAACCAAGGAAAGGAATTCTGAATGTTGAAATGTGTAAAAACCGAATAAAAATATAAAAAAATTTTAAGTGATTTAAATCACTGATTTTTATTTTTAAAATCAGGTTGATTTAAATTTAAAAAATCAACTGATTTAAATCAACCCAACCCTGTGGTCAAAGACACGAAAAATAAATTTCTGTTTACACTTTGATTCATTTTAAATGCAAAAAAAAGAATACCTGTTCTCCACTTGAGGGTTTGTCTTTGCGTGGAGGTTTCCACATTCTTTCCCCAGTTTCTCGATTCACGTAATAAAGCCGCTGCAAAGAATGCTCCTTGTAGATGTCCCATGGCAAACCTTCAACTAAAACTCTAACAAAAGTACCCTCCTCTGGAAGAGGGGGAGGAATTGTTCCTTGAATTAGTTCTTGAGCAGTAGGCGAGGGAAGAGAAGAGTTTTTAGATGTTCCAGGGACGTCATCGGAACAGGCACTGACAGTCTGAAAATGTCAAATCAAAATAAAAAACATCAAGGTGATTAAAGTATGCAATTCTAAATATTATTTACTAAACACTCAAAGATAATTTTTTACGGTAAAAAAATAAATAAACAACCAACTGCTTGAAATAAAAATATCATTAATTAGCATCATGTCACTATGCTAGCAAAATGACTTCATCAGAGTCTGCCAAAATACAACAAGCCTTTTATTTTGTTTGGTGGTAAATATATATTTTATCTTTTGGTAAAATCAAAACAAAAGTGTTCTAGCAGTCACAAAAGAAACATGCTTGGCAATTTTACCATTATTAGATGAAAATAAAATAGTCTGGTTAAAGTTTTGTTCCCCTTTATCTCAAAAGTAGCAAACTGAGACATGTTTACTAATAATAATAATAATAATAATAATAATAATAATAATAATAAGAGCATTTGTATCCTGCCTTTCCCCACAACATGGACCCAAGGCGTACATAGGAGATTAAAAACGCATTCATACAAACACCATACAAATTCATCATGTGCGCACATTTTGACAGCAACATTCTTTCAGACAATAAAAAATGCTCCTACAAAAAGGCCCGGTACTGTTCATTAATTAAAATATTTCAGATGTGTTTTGAGTCCCCTTTTGAAGGTATCAAGTTTTATTTCGGTCCTCAAATCATGAGGAAGAGTGTTCCAAACAGTTGGCCCAGAAAAAGAAAAAATTCTCTCACCATATTTCTTCAGTGACACACGAGGTGTTGAAATTAGTCTAGAGCCACTGGATCTTAGTTCACGTGATGGTGTGTATGGTACAATGAGTTCTTGAATGTATGTGGGAGACTGGTTAGTTTGACCTTTGAAGCATAGTACGGCTAACTTATATTCAATTCTCACTTTCAGTGGAAGCCAATGGAGGTCTCTTAAGTAGGGGAGTCACATGATGGCGTTTTGATTGCATTAATACTTGCCTGGCAGCATTGCTTTGAATGCGATGGAGTTTTGCAATATTTTTCTTCAGGTAGGCCAACGAACAGTGAATTGCAATAGTCAATGCGTGACAAAATGAAGGCAAACACTACTTTTTGGTGGCATCAGTGCTAAGAAATTTCCTTATGGGAGCAATTCTTCTCATTTCTAAGTATGAAATTTTACATAGATGGTTAAGTTGGGTCTCCATCATCCATGGACAAGTCTTTGTCTAAGTATACTCCAAGATTTTTTGCTTTGTTCGAAAAAGCGACAGTACCTTTGCCAATGGTGAGACATTCTTCATCAAGAGCATTTATCTTTGAGCTGCTTGAGCATGGCATGATTTCTGTTTTGTCATCATTTAATTTCAATTTATTTTCAGTCATCCATGCTTTTACAGATTCAAAACATTCTGAGGTGTCTTTTGACAGAGATTGAATATTGTTGGGTTTTGCAGACTTGTTAAGTTGTGTATCATCTGCGTACATATGGTAGGGCATGGAATGGTGTCTGATGGTACGACAAAGAGGTAAGGTGTACATAGTGTACAGCACAGGTCCTAGGACTGACCCCTGGGGCACACCAAATTCCAGCAATTGATGACAGGACTGCATGCCATCAACAACAACAAAGCCCAGTAATGATCAATATAAGTCTTGATCCGTGCTCTATAAAAATTCACATATTCACAAACCAAGTGAAACTCATCAGTTATAAATAATTTTATACTACAAGAAAACTGAGGACCTGATAAAATAAATCAAACCCCTAGACATGGGAAAAAAATTTTCCAAGTCATTACTGATTCGAATTTTTCCCATACACACACAACAACTTTTAAGCCGTTTCAACAAGACAAGAACATCTTAAAAAGCGCCTTTAAAAGAGAACAAAGACAGAAGACTCATTAAAGCACACTTTCTAACAAATGAAGGAGTTAACTTAGTTCAGAAAGTCTTAACCCCCGATAGACTGTACTTTCAGTTTACCAGGAATGCACAGATGCTCAGCTGTGCCAGATTCCTGATTTACCTGTAACAAAAAACTGTCTCGACAAAATCTGACTCTGCACAAAACTTATACACGGTTAGCTAAACAGCTTTAAACTCGGCATTTAGAGCAAGAACTGACAACGGTAAATATACGCTCCAGTCCATAGAATGAGAATAGTGTTGTTTTTCTGTAAAATAAATTTAAATGCTGGACTTATTTCTGTATGGAGCGAGCCCCTGATGAATGATGCTCTTTAACAGGAAAGAGGGTTAAGTCTGTAAACTGTTTACAATAAGTGCTTAATCACATATGTCTAATAATAAAGACGACTTACACCAGAACTACATGTGTAGTTACAGAAACAGTAGATGTGATGATAGCAATGATGATGTTAGTGATGGGAATTCAGTCAGGGTTGGTGATTTATTTATTTTTTATCAAAATAAAAAAAATCGATTTTTTAAATTTAAATCAGATTATTTTAAATTTAAATCGAATTTTTTAAATTTTTTTAATTTTTTAAAAATGTCGAAACAGTTTGGGATTTTCGGTGGCTAAAAGTATGTTCTTTTAGTGCAAAACGCATTGTCTTTATTTTAACTAATGATTAATTTAAGCAACTGCTAAAGAAAGCCTTAATCTGCTATATATCAGTGAATTATGGCTACAGACAAAAAATGAAGAAAATGTCAGTCTAAAAGGAAGGGGGGGGGGGGGGGGGGTTAATTATGCATAGATAAACTTGCATTTTATTACAGTGTGTGTGTGTGTGTGTGCGCGCACATGCGCTTGTGTTTGTCTAAAAAGAAAAAGAAAATGCTAATTTCAATTATGAAAAAAAAGTAAATATTGAATACTGTATTATTTTACAGTGACAGGGGGGAAAGCAGACTTTTAAGCATGATTATATTAGTCTACTAAACCTTATATATCTGTTTTATAAAACCAAGGAAAGGAATTCTGAATGTTTAAAGATGTAAAAACAGAATACATTTTTTTTTAAAGTGATTTAATCACTGAGTTTTATTTTTAAAATCAAGTTGATTTAAATCTTTTAAAAATCAACTGATTTAAATCGACCTGATCTAAATCAACCCAACCCTGATTTCAATTACGAAAAAAAAGTAAATTGAATACTGTATTATTTTACAGTGACAGGGGGAAAGCGGACTTTTAAGCATGGTTATATTAGTCTACTAAACCTTATATCTGTTTAATAAAACCAAGGAAAGGAATTCTGAATGTTTAAATATGTAAAAACTGAATACATTTTTTTAAAGTGATTTAAATCACTGACTTTTATTTTAAAAGTGAAGTTGAATAAAATATAAAAAAATCAACTGATTTAAATCAACCCAGCTCTGATTTCAATTATGGAAAAAAAAGTAAATTGAATAAGGTACTGTATTATTTTACAGTGAAAAGGGGGAAAGCAGACTTTTAAGCATGATTATATTAGTCTACTAAACCTTATATATGTTTTATGAAACCAAGGAAAGGAATTCTGAATGTTGAAATATGTAAAAACTGAATAAAAATTTAAAAAATTTTAAGTGATTTAAATCACTGATTTTTATTTAAAAAATCAAGTTGATCTAAATTTTAAAAATCAACTGATTTAAATCAACCCAACCCTGGATTCAGTTCATTAAGATGTAGAGTAGGCCTAGAACTTCATGAATTACTTTCTTCCCTCATTCTCTTAACTTTCCCCTGCCCCTTTCTTAAAGAAAGTATTTAATTATAATAAAGGCTGTAAGAGAGAATAATGTTTAATAAATCTGCTCCTTGGTAAAAGCAAACTAAAATGCTTGCATACTCAAAGAGACCACATTTTAAAACATACATTTAACGGGAACACTTATTCTGGGAAACTTTGAGTCTTTCAGAGCAAAAAACAGATCACTGCACACTGTGAGGCACTTAATTTTTCAATGCCCTGTCAAACCCATTCCGAAGACAATATCATCATAACCTTTCTTCATTTTATATACTAAAATAAAAATGGTGGGACTTACAATTGGGTTAATCCGGGCAACATTTCTATACTGCTCCAGATTAACGTATTCTCCATCAGTCTCACCCTCCCCATGGGAACTAGATGAATTCACATAATCAGACTCATTATCCCTGTTCACTTGATTGGCATATGTCTGTTCTCGATCATCATCATAATCAGTCAAAGGTGAATCCCTGGCAGACTCTCCAAAAGTCAAAAGTTTGTCCAAATCAGAAAGAGTTTTCAGTGGACTCCTCTCTGAGACCACTTCCACGTATTGAGCTGGCACAAAGAAGCAATCCCCATTAGCATCCGAGGGATCATACACTTGCCACCACTCATTGTTCGTTCTCTCGACAAGTCGATAAAGGTCTCCTGCTTTAATTGTCACTTGTCCACTGTCATCTGTATAGCCATAGTCATAAAGGACTCTTACAACATCCTCCACCTCCTCTGACATCTTGTAGCTACAGGATAAATCTAAAAATAAAAGAATAGATGCATGTGTACTGATGTAATGGACAGAGTAACAAATTTAATAAGCATAAACCGGACAAGTGTCCTCCTACTCAGAAATGTAGAAAAGGCTACCATGTCAAATCCAAAGAGAAAACAAGATAATTTTACATCATTTTTTTCCTTACTCCTCTCATTCCCCAAAGTGCTTTTTCCCCCTCTTATTTATTTTTTGGGCACCCAAGTAAACCACAACTGTTCATAAAATCTCAAGACGTAATACATTTTCTCCACAAAACTGTATTATAATAAAAGCTTATGCCTTTGATTTTTTATTTTGTATTGCTGAAAAGAGTCTCCGAGCCAAATTCAAACAAGGGTGCTAATGCAACCAATCCAAAACCGTTATCACCAACAACAAAAGTTCAAAAGTTATGTTTCAAGAAAATAACTCTTCTAGATTTTAATCCAAAAAATTGAAAATGTACTAACATGAACTTGTAAGTTTAATGAGTTTGCTGCAAGGCATATTACACACATTATCCATGTTCACAGATAAAACATCAATAAAAAATAACGCCGAATGTGAAATAAAAGCGCCCCTTAGCTGTCAATCATAGACTTAAATTTACTAAATAAAAATTCATTCGCAAGAAGCTTTTGCCACAATTTACCGACTTGGTCGAGTCAGTGTGAGTATTAACATTTCTTTGATGCCATCTTGCCCTTTCTCAACTACCCTACCAAACCTAGTGATAGATTATAAATGCAAACTGCCTTGACAAAATCTTCTGGCTCTATCAATAGGGTTCGATCTGAGTCAAAGTCAAAAAAGGCGACACTTTGTTTTGATGTTACCTTCCAGTCTGTTTTGACAAAGGCCACAGTCGTGTGGGTCACGCCACCTACGCGACAGTTCACTACCAGGCTGCAAAACTGGCACTTGGGCGGTTGAATCACATGGAAATTGGGGACTGGTGTGTTATAGGCGATTGATTTACTGAAGGATTGAAACACTTTGCAGTAATCTTTCAAACTTGGGATTTTAATAAAAAGGCGTATCAAAGACTGTACTACATGATAAAGGGATCAAAAAGTGATTTTAGAAAATGTGGTCACTTAGGCGGTTGAATAACGCGGCTAGTGATATAGATCTATATACTTCAATGCAGGAATAGTCTAGAGATAGAAAAGTTGGCATGCTATTAATGCTAAGCTTATTTTGGATGGGATGGCCCATTTTGCCCCCAGATTCGCTTCAAAGGTGTTTTCCGCATAATCTGCACAATTGAGCCAACCCAGCTTTTTTGCTTAATTTCTTTTTAATTATCAAGTAAATAATAGTCAGAAATTTGTGTATACGGCAGACAAGGTTATAACTAACTCATGCAAAACCACAGAAGACTTCATTTGAAAACAAAATATGTAGAGATAGATTTCATGGGTCCAAACACTTTACCTCTTCGATTTTCTCAAAAACAAACATTTTTTTGGATAGCCCCCCTTTTGTGCTTAAAAAAGCAACCAAATGTCAACACATGATTGGCTTCCCAGCTAGATTCAAGGTTTTGCTGACAATGTCTCTGCCAAACAAAAATTTATTCAACTAAGGAAGAAAAAAGTATAACAATCTTGAATTTCATATTCTTTGACAAAAGGAGAGGAATTCCGTAACAAGCGACCACTAATAAACAAAGTAGAAGAGAGTTAGGGTTAGGTTTAGAGGTAGGGTTAGGGTTTGAGATAGAGGTAGGGTTAGTGTTTGGGGTGGGGGCAGGGGTAAGGGTAGGGGTTTGGTGTTGGGCCAGGGTTAGGGTTAGAGGTCTTTTCTATAATAAATGTGTTTGTTGGGGTGGTCACTCTCGTTACGGAAGTCCTTCCAACAAATGATATGAATATTTTTTGTTTTTAAATTAATAAGTTTCATTGACACAAATCCCTGTTACTGCTGCACTCCAGGTTGCACACACTACTGTCACTATTGACAGCATATCTCTAGATTGAAATATAGCTCTCCAGAATCTAAAAAATTCTGTTAAGTATTACTGTATTGGGATCCTTCAATATATCTAAAAATCTACACATAATAAAATTATTCTGAAAAAGCAGAGTTTTCAAGAGCATTCTTTTATGGCAGGCACTATTTGCAACGCCACGTTCTAAATGGCTCCCATGCTATTTGAAACCCCTGTACTAGAATCTAGATACCTAGATCTACTAGATCTATCTAGTAGCCATCGTTCCTACATGATAATATTGTAGTTCTGCCTGAATTGTGGAAGCTTTCTCAGTTTCTTGATAAACCTCCTAGGACTTGACTCCTTTTTTATGACATTGTCTTATTCCGATCAATAATGGGTAATTTAGAACTTTAGATCCAACAAATGTTTCTGACATTGTTTGCACAAAAGTAGACTAGACGTAGTCTTGTTCATCTCTCATAATCATAATCATTTGAGTTTTGAGTTTGAGAAAGTAAGTCGAAAGACGCTTCCTGTCCGCAGTGTCGTCATACAATAGATTCTAGATCTACCTAAAAACATTATCTGTAAGTTAGGCCTCGATCTCGAAAACGTACAAGCTGTCTAGCTACATTCGCTAGGCCTAGATCTAAGTCTAATGTTCAGTGCTTCCAAGCGCAGCATCGAATCCCGGTCCCGGAAGGGTTTTTTTTCTTCTTCTGAGCCTTACATTTTTTTTTTTTAAATTCGACTCACAGACCAAGGAAAGCCACTATTGAACTTTAACCAGCCCTAAATTGGTAAAAGGAAAAGTATAGGCTATACTAAGGCCTACTTTGTACAGTGCTTCCACTAGCTGAAGCTGAAAAGTAAGGAAAATTCTGCTGGGGGTCTGGGGGCTGCAAAGGCCCCCCAGCAGGGTCCAGGGACAGAGTCCCGGTGGGGGTTCAGGGGGCGAAGCCCCCGAAGAAATTGAAATTTAGTACTTTTAGAGGGTTGAAAATGGCATTTGGGAGCCTGTTTGAAGAGATTGCCAACAACCCATACTACCTATTTTTTCACCCAGATTTTGTCTTGTTTAATTTCTTCCCCAATATATCTTTCCATTGCTGGCAATGTTTAAAAGCAGGTTCCCCTTCCATTGCCACTATAATTCAATTAATTTGTCATCGCACCTTTGATACTGATAGAAGGCAAACCTGGGAATAATGAATAGATATATATATGTAGGCCCCGTACCTTCACAATACAGTTACCAGACCTGCCACTCTATGAAGCCTCAAAATTAGGATCTCAGGGAGAGAAAAATCGGGATTTGGTGAAAAAAATCGGGATCAACAGCAAATCACCAAGGTGACTGCCAAAGCTGACTTTAAAAATTTCCATGGGTGTCCATAAATTACTCGGCCTATATGCTCTCTGTGTGTCTTTTTGTGCGTGTTATCATTATTTTTTGTAAATCCTGAGGCATCACGTTAAGCACTCCTAGTCCAAAAGTCTCTACCCCCCCCCCAACCAATAAGTCCCGAAATACATGAACTTAGGTTGACCCCGTCAACGGACAGTCCCCGACACGCAGAACTCACACGGCGATGTCATGTCACGTGATCATGCGTATGCGCGATTGAAACAATTTTACTAACAGGCCCGACTAACTGCACGTTCAAACAAAAGACTCGGATGAGAAACAGTCGTTCTACTTCTAGGATAACGACGGGGGCCGACCGACCAAATGTACCAACAAATCTCTTATCCCTCATAATGCGTTCAGACTAAAGCAACGACAACGGCCGTATGTCAGTCTTGCCAGCGCAGTTTACATGTAGTTGTGTAAGGGTTAGAACGACTGTCGCTCGTCCGAATCTTCGCAATGATAATTTCTCTAGATCTAGAATCTAGACAATAAATTTGCAAAAAAAATTCTTTCTGACAGTAATTTTCTGTCTAAGATCACATGTCAATATACTTGATCAACGTGCAGATTCTTCCAGCCGCGGCAACAATCCGAAGATAGACAGACGGAATGAGGGAATGATAGAAAGGAGGAAAGTGGCACAAAAAGTTCGCCAGATTTTGATCAATCTGCAGGTAAAAAATGTACTGCCGACAAGCCTGCAATGAATGCATGGGGCAGAGTAGAATAATGGCCGATTGCAGGAAATGCGCAATCTGGCAGGTTTCTATAGTAACTATTGCCGAGAGAATTACCGTAAATATCCCTAACTTATACAAGACATACGAAGGCGAGTACGGATCTTTTGCAACGGAATTTCGGTAGTCCTACGCTGTCGCAGATTTTTACGGAGGGAGTTGATGATGATGGAGGAACAAGTACGGAACTAGCAGAAAGTACGGATTTCCGTAAAAATACGAAAGAGTGGAAGCACTGTTTGTACAAAACTACTCTTGGGGACAAAATTAGAATCTGCATGCTTCACCACTACATTAAAAAAACTACAAAGCAACAAGTTACAGATCTAATTAGGGGGAAAATTTGTTGGTCAGTCGAGAAGAGGACAAAAAAAACCAACTTCCAGGACCGGGATTGAACCCACGCTCATAAAATAATGGCTTGGCTTCAAACGCAGACGCGCTGTCACTTATCAGAACTTTCAACAACGAAAGGTAGATTAAGCTTCATATATATATATAGCTCTAGGCTAACACACGGCGTTTCCCCAGATTTAGCACTAGCGTTAATAGGACTTCCTTTTCTTATTGGAAGAGGCTAGCCGTACTTAAGTACGGGTAGACAGCCAGGTTAGCCATACTTAAGGCCGGCTAGACTGTCAAGCTAGCCGTACTTAATATTGATGGCTGAATTGCAGGAGGTTTAAAATACACATACACTGTCATTAAGGCACCTGGTTTCGTCTCAAATACAAATGCTTTAGGTACTGCACACTAAAAATGTATATTTAAAATTCAGTAGGCCTATTTTTTGTAAATGGTCAGTCTAGCCATCATATTAAGAATAAGTACGGCTAGACTGCCAGTCTAGCCGTACTTAAGTACGGCTAGACTCTTCCAACCTAGATCTAAGTACGGCTAGACTGCCAGTCTTAAGTTAGGCTAGCCACTTCGTTTCTTATTTACTTTGGAAGAAAGTCATTTATCACTTCCAGAAGGCAAAAGGTTTCTGTCAGCACTGTGACATCATATTTTATCAATGACAAGAAATGAAGAAGGAAGTGAATTCTCACCACCAGCTTCTTCAGTTTTACCTAGAATAACAACGACAAATGGTGGAGATTGGTTGTGTAGGCCATGAATAGGAGTCAGAAGAGAGAAGGTATATAACGGTGACACTTGACAATAAGAACAGAGACAGGCTAACACAGAAGGTTATCCACTTTAAATAGGACACAAAAAACTAGAGATCTAACTAGATATCTATCTAGATTCTCTTCTAGATATCTAGATCTAGATCTAGATTTGGTTTCCAGGAAATCGCAGGCAGCTTTCTGGTCATTAAGGGCCTCTTTTTCTCTTATAATGAACACAAAGAACAACATACCACATAATTGTTGCTCCTTGCTCAAGAAAAGAAGGTTACTTGAATAGAGGATCTAATTAAGATTAGAAAACAACCTGACTGGGGTGGTCACTACACACACTACACTGTGGAGAGAATGACCCGATTTCCTCTGAAGAAACTTGAAATTTGAAATTGTATCCTAACACTAACACATTCAGAGCCACGTCAATATTTAGCCAAATTTATCATCACACTAGATCTAGATCTAGATCTAGATCTAGATGAACACTCAAAATTTTCAAACTTTGAAGCAGTCAGCAGAAAAACACAATCACTTGTTGATTCTTCTTGTAAACGAAAGTTTACAATTTGGTAGAAAACGGGTGTTCTGCTGATCGGAGACAGTAGAACTTTTAGTCTTCAGGCCCGGGGTGTACTCGCATCAATTCTTAAAACTGAGTAGATCTAAGTAGCAAGGAAGGAAAGACACAAAAATTACAAACCACTCAAAAGCAACACATTTCCTTCAGAAAAGCTTTCTCCCTGAAGTAGAACTTAGTTCCTGTACTCTTTTCAAGGGGCGATACGGAAGCCCAGCCCCTCCATCTTGTGAATCAATCTCATTGACACCGTACACAGTCCGCAGACTTCCTTTACGGCTAAGTTCATTGGTCAATAATTACCTTTGCGGTGAAAATCTAATTTAAGCTATACATTTCATTTTCAGCGTATTATTATGCATATTATTATATATATAAACCACTACTCTCTGTTCATGTTATTATGTTAGTTTCAACTTTCCTCTTTGGGGGGGGGGGGGG